TAGAAGGCTCTCTGCAGGGCCTTGGGGCAAGTCTAGAATGGGAATAAAGGCGTCTTTCTGGTAGTGATAAAATCATGAAGCTATGTTTCAGGCATATGGAACCTCATTTTACTTTTCCCAACATCTTCCTATGAGGGCTGGTTACCATGAAGCCTTCTGTCTAGTTTGGAGCTACCTGCCAGTTTTAAGGCCTTAGACAAATTGTAAAGTTGTGACAACTCTCCCTGACTTTATTCATTTTAACTATACTTGGTATTTTAAAAAACAAAAATATTTCAAGTCATGGAACAGCCCTTCACACCAACTCTCGCTAGTTGCAAGTAGCTTCCTGGACACTGAGCTGGATGCATAGCACACTTGCCATGTATTGTCACCTCTTGAGGCCCAAGTAGTCATCATCTACCCAGGGCACTGCATGGGCTACCCACTCTACCCTTTTCAGAGCCTGCATCTATCCACATCCAGCATTTCAGCCCTACGGGGACTCCACCCAGAGCCCCAGTCTTCCAGTCACTGCTTTGATCTCTCCCTTAAGACCCTACAGAAGGCCCTTGTACATGTATCCTGTAGGTGTGAGGTATTCCCATTACAATTATTCTTTTTTGGGACACAGGGCTCTGCCTGGGGTCCACCAACATCTTAGCCTGGAAGTTTCAACCACTTCCTTTCCCAGGCTCCCTCAATGCAGGGAAGAATGAGTCACGGGCAGTGGAAGGTACAGTGGTGCCAATTTTCTTATCTGTGAAATGGGGTAATGAGAGTACTAATCCCTTCAAGAATTTGTGAGGATTGAAGCGCAATCCTGTGACACATGACATTGGCCTCTGGGTGGGGAACCCTAGAAACAAGCACTGAATGGTCCCATTGTAGTTGCTGTTGTTATTATCAAGGATAGGAGTCTGCCTGGCCTCCCTTGCAATTCACCTTGAAGGTGGCTGCTGAGACCATCCATGCTCCCCCCTTGGCCTCCAACATAGGTTTGGCTCTTTTCAATTCCCCTCCCTCCTCTCTCTGCACACCCGCTGCCCAGTCCGAGGTGTCATCTGATTTTCTCCATTTGGGACATTCCAGTTTCTTTCGTCACAGCAAGAAAATCAAATAACAGGCAGCTGGAGTGCTCGTTAAGGGTCCCAGACCAGGAGAGAGGCTCTGATGGGGGAAGAGTCAGCTGAGGTCTGGAAACCACACTTCCAACTCCCCCGTCCTTCTCTCCCACTCCGACCCACCCGCCCAGAGGCTTGGCCCTCAGATCCGCCTCTGGCTTGCTCATTCCAGGCCTCATCACCTACTGGGTCCCCTCGTCCTGGCTTTTCCTCCTAGCATCCTCCTCCTGCACAGATACCATCTCTGCCCATGTGCCCCTGGATTCCTGCCTCTGGGATACTGCACAGGCTCTCCCCCATCCACCACGTCAGTCCTTCAAATGCCTTCTCCATTCTTCGGGGAGTGACTCAGGCTCATGTGCCATAAGGACAGCCTGTCCAGGCCCCGGAGTAGAGCTCTCCCTTTGCATCCTCCTGTTCTGAGCATGGATTTTGGTGGTGGTGCTTCTTACTGCATTCTCTCTGCTGCCTTCTGAGGAGCTCATCCCAGGAGGGAAGCAGGCCTGGGCTTCACAGAGAATAAAGTGCAAGTGCAGGGGTGGCCCGACTTGCCTAGGGTCACAGGGCCGCAAGGCCCAGGAGAATCTAGACTTGGCTCTCTACGCTCACTGGCTGCCTCTCACACAACTGTGTCACAGAGATGTTTTGTAACAGAACCACATGGTCCTCCTCCAACCTGCCTGTGCATCTCCCACTGAAGTTTCTGTCCCACCCATTCCTCTCTTGCTCTTCTCCCAGCCTAGGAAAGAAGAGGCCAGGTGGGTCCCTCGAGTGGCTCTGGGGATACCTTTGCAGGTTTAGAAGCTGCCCCTAGATCAGTGCTGTGGAGAGGACTTTTTGCAGGGACGTGGGCACTGAACTTGCACTGCTCAAAAAGCAGCTTCTAGCTGCATTGGCAGCTAAGCCCTTGACCTGGACAGGTGGGCTCATGTTCAAATGTTGGGCTCATGTTCAAATGTTGAACTCAAGTTCAAATATTTTTCTGTGTAGATATAATAAGTCACATGTGACTAGTGTTTACTGTTTGGGACCCTGTGACCCTAGAGTGTCCCTTCAGGAGCCCCAAAAGATGAGGCTCCACCCACTGGACAGCTCCTCCCTCTGGCTCCCTCACTTTTTGCTACTGCCCCCAGATGTGACAGTCACTTCTCTCTGCCCACTCCCACCTCTGCTACAGGCCCTATTTCCCCCTGCCTACCACAGCCTCCTGCTCTGCCTCACTGATCTTCCTGCCTTAAGCCTTGTCTGTTTCTTTTTCTTTCTCTCTGTCTCTCTACTGAATCTCAGGCCTAGCTACCAATCAAGCCATGCTCCTAGTTCGTTTTAAATTTTATTTTGAGACCTGTCTTGCTATGTTGCCAAGGCTGCCCTTGAACTTGGGATCCTCCCACCTTAGCCTCCCAGGTGCTGGGCTTACAGGCATGCACCACCATAACTGACTCTTAAACTTTCATCCTAGGGATATAAGTGCTTTTCTTTAAAACCCTTTGATGGCTCCCCATTGCCCTTATGTAAATCTAACTGTCTCTAAGGCCTCTCTTGATCTGGACTGCCTGTCTTTCTCTAGCAACATCTTCATCTATTCTTCTCTTTCAGCCCCCAGGATCTTGGACGTTCTTTAGTTCCCAGGGCTTCCCTCTGGTTTCAGAAGCTGTTCAGCTTCTGAGTGCAAGACCCCACACTTACCCTCTTTTGCCTGGAAAACTCCTATTTGCCCTTCAATTTGCTTAAAAATCTCTTCCCCAGGAAGCACACCGTGACTCCTAGCACCATCAGACTTTGTTGCCTATAAGAACATTCCTAGATTGCCTCTTTGCATTATTGTGTTTTCCATACAACATGGTCATTTTCTTTTTGTGCCCATTTTGTTAAGGAGGGCAGAAGTGTGTCTTTTATGATGCTTGACCCTCTGCTGGCTTGCCAGAAACATTGGCAGGACACAGTAAAGACAGGATTATATATAGGGTCAGAAAACAGGTGAATCTGAGAATCACTGCCCTTCTCTGGGCCTGACTTTTTCGGTCTGTAAAATGAGGGTCACTTTAGATGGTCTTTGGGGAGATGTTCAGCTCTGGCACTGAGGAGGTCTGGAAGTCAGTGGGATAAATGGATTTCCCTCAAGCTCCAGCTTGGACAGGAGGAATTGGCATGACAGATAAAGTAGTCAGATCCTAGGCTCTGGAGCCTACAACCTGGCACAGCTGTCTTAGCAGAGGAAGCAAGGGTCTAGGAGGGATAGGAATGGCTGGGGCCACCCTCACTCAAAGAGGGTCTAGGAAGGGAACAGCATGGAAGGAGAAACAAGCTAAAGCACCAAGGTCAGATACTGGTCCTGTAGCAGCCAGGAGCCAGAAGTACCTGGGGAGCTGTCTTCCACCCTCTTCACTGCCCAGCTAGTGCCTTCTGCCCACTTAGTCAGCCAGCAAAGGCTGCCTCCTCTTAGGGCTTGAGCCCTAGACTGTCCCCAGGCTCAGGGGACATGGGTGGCCTGACCCAGCCCTCTGCATTCCCCCTTGTCTGGCTGGGCATGAGATGAGCTGACAGCAGCAGGCATGTGGCATCATTATCACCAATGACTTGCCCTTTGGTCATCTTTTGTCTTCTGGCCAGCGATCGTGCCCTCCCTGGCCACCCTAGGGAACTGCTGTGGCAGAGGCACTGAAGAGGAACCTGGCTGCATTGTGCCAAAATGTCCTGGCAATCAACACCAGTACAGCTGGGCCTCAATGCTTGACATTTTCACCACCATTCTGCAGGCTCACAGGGTTTGGAGTTTTTGTCCCAGGTCACACAGCATCGATGAACCAGAGTGGGAAAAAACCCAGGGCTGCTGGACCCTACCCCCTGCTTCACTGCTCCACACCCCTCCTGCTAAGTAAGAGACCCCCCCCACTTCTCCCCATGTGAACCTTACATGCCAGCCTGCTCCAGGACCACATTCCCAGGGGCTACCACCTCACCCACCTGTCTTTCCCTGTCTGGGCCCTGTGTCCTCTGTGTTGGCCACATTCACCAAAGTCCCCAGGCCACTCCCAGTCAAGGCCCAGCCTTTCCTCTGGTGGATGGCACACAGAGACTGAATATTAGTCCTTCCTGGGAAGGGTGCCATCTTCTCACTGCCAAGATTGGCATGGCTAAGACACCTGAGTAGCTTTTAGTCTACCTGGGATGTGGGATATTTGCGGAATGGGAGAAAGTTCACCATCCAGCATCCTTTGCAGGGGCGTGGAGGGGGAGGATGTTGGGGACCATTCTGGAGGCCACTGTGTAAGAAAACCATTTTAGAAACAAGAAAGTGTGGGTTAATTTGAGCCCAAGGACAGCAGAGCCAGGTGACCCACACCTTGGCCCTAGTGGCCTGGAGCAGCGAGCAAAGCGCACTTGGACGACTAACTCTCTCACTCTGCTTCCCAATGTAGCCATAAAAGTCAGGCAGGCCACTCTCGTGGAATGGAGGGGGAGGACTAACCGGGCTCAGCAAGCGTAGGCTGGGCCCACATGGCATGTTTCCCGTCGCGTGGGCGCCAGGCAGCTCTCACACTACCCCGGCCGGGTCCCAGGAGGGCTAAATGGATCTCACCCGCCTCCGCGCACCTCAAAGCGCCCTGCCTTCCTCCACTTGCCCAGGTCGCCCAGTGCCCTCCCAGCGCTGGACGCAGGTTGCCTGTCGAGGGCGGGAGCCAGGGGATGACGCGCAAGCCGACCGGGTGCTGCTGTCCCTGGCAGGGCGGCGTGGGTCTAGGCTCCCACTCTTCCCGCAGACAACTTGTGCAAGCCCCGGGCGCACTGGGCGACGAGGAGCCTGCGCGCCCGCGGGCACCCGCTGGTCAAGAGTCCAGAGGCTGCTCGAGAGGGAGCCGCGGGGAGGGATAAAAGCCAGCAACAAAGAGCACAGACCTCGTCCAGCAGTTGGTTGACTCGTCCCAAAATAGCCGTCTCCATTTGCTGCTCCCCGCGCTCCGCTTCCAGGCGCAGTACCCGGGCCTGCAGCTCCGCCGTCCGAAAATGAGCGAGCAGGCTGAGCGCCAGCGAGCACAGGGCCAGCGCCAGCAGCCCGCACGACCCTGGGCTGGGCAACCGCGCGCAGCGCTCCGCCAGTGCCACCGTGCCCGGCGCGCCCAGCTCTCCAGGGCCGCGGGCACCCGCCGCTGCCGCTTTGCGAGCGCGCTCCGCTACCATTCTCTCGCGTCTTGAGAACCAATAAATAAATAAATAGAATAAATAAAGGCGAGAGCTGCCTCCAAAAGGCGCGATCCAAACTGCGGGCAGGGGGAAAGGGTTTGTGTTGCTGGAAAACGTCCCTTTCCTTTGCTCCCGGCAAAGAGGACGTAAAAATTAGCAATAGGAGGGTGGGGGGGAAGGCAAAACCCACAACGGGTGGCAATCGTTACACCAAAGTGAGGGGAAAAAAGTTATTTCGAAGAACGTTCCAAGTCCGGGAAAGTTGGGGGAATCTGGCCGGCTCTCCGCCCGTCTTTGCCTTCAAGTGTCTGTAGAGTCCTCGATCTGGTGTCGCGCAGTCGGTTCTTCTGGGTGTTTTGCGTTTCCCAGGCAAGCCAGTTTCAGTCCCCGGGCGAAGGGACGCACATGGAGGGCTCCATGGGCTGAGGTGGGTCGTGGCCGCTGCGGAGGAGCGCTGGGGCCGATTCCGGCGCCTCTGTAACTTGACACACTCGCTGCGGCTGCACGGATCGGATGAGCAATCCGTGCTACTTCCCAAACTAATCTCTCCCGCCCCCTCCCTCCTCCTCCTCCCCACTCCTCCTCCGCCTGCTGCGGGGCCAACGACTTGGATTTGTTTATTTATGCAAACTCGCCCCGGGTGGGGGGCGTGGTGTGCAGGGCCCTGGGGCCCCCAGCCCGCCGCCCCGGGAGCCCCTCTCCCGCGCTCCCTGTCCTCTTTGAAGTGACACTTAGGTTATTTATAGGCAGGAAGGGGGTGTGGAGTGGAGCTGGGGCTGCACTTCTCTCCTTTTCCCTAGATTCACACCCAGGGCCCATTTCGCCTTCCTCAAAGTCCTGGGACCAGGCACCACTGCCCTTTGTTTTCCCAGGAGCGGGCAAAGGCAGGCTTTAGGACCCTCGCGGCCTCCAGCTGAGTGTCTGTTAAGGCATCTGCATGGACATCCACCTCCGGAACAGAACGACCTGAATCCCTTCCGCTAGCACTGCACCCAGCCAACCTCTCACCTTTTGCTTCTCTCCCCTACTGGACCCCACCTTGGGCTCGAACTTCTGAGTCCCTTGGGCTCTGGCAGCTCCTGTGCTGGGACCATTCTGCCACCCACAGCTTTCTTTATTAGTGTGTATGTGTGGGGGAGGAGTCGGACCTCCAGGGTGTAGCAGAACTGGCACCCCTTTCTTTCTTTCAGGGGTACAGGGGAACAGAAACAGAGCCTGGAGTCCCCCCCTCGTGTCTGGGTTTATTCTAGGGCATCTGAGAGACAGATCAGTATTGCAGCCTGCAGGCAGGATTTCTCCCCTTCTTGTCTGCACTAATCTGTGACCCATTCCATCCTCCCACTGCTCCCTAACTGGACTGCGCAGTCATCATTCTTACACTTGCTTACACTCCATTCCTGCGGGGTTAACCTTAGGGCTACCCCCCTCAACTCACCCTGCTGTCATTTCTCATTCCCGCTCCTTTTGAAAAAAGCTGGTGGTTGGAGGGTGTTTTGCATCTGTAGTTTTCTCTCTCCTTTTATCACCTCCCCCCACTTTATGCAACATTTGTGTTCCAAGAAACTTTATCTCCTTATACCTCTTGACATTCCTGCAAATGAGGTGGTGGGGTCGAGGTCTTGGAGAAAGCCTACCACTCAGGAACATCAGGCAGAGGAGAGAAGTCTGGAGCTTGAAACGTGAAGTAGAAGTGGGGGTGACAGGGGTATTAGGGTTTCCTTTCCTAATAACAGGCTGTGTCGTTGAGAACTTCCCATTGTAGATATTGAAGACTAAATATAATACATATATTAACATATAATATACCTCTAATAGACGTGGCCCACTTAATAGAGTGTATTGAACTTGTAACATAGTACCTCCATACAATAACTGTAACATTGACTGTTAGGTCAGTCAGCTACCATTGAGGACTTCAGGGATAGAAAGTGATGCTGCAGAAAGGGCTGGTGGTTAAAAGCTCTGGGTTCCAGTCCAGCTCTAGGATTTCCTTGATGTGCTTCACTGAGTAAGTGAACCTCTGAGTCCGCATTCCTGGGATGGGATAAACCAGTCACCAGAGTACTAATCCTTGAGACCACAGCGGCATTAAATACCACGAGGGGGCGCTGGCGAGTTTCTAGCTGGGGAAGGAAGCTCAGGGACTTGGGGCTTCTCCCATGCCTCTCGGAACAGTCTGAATGGAGGAGTTGAACTAGGGAGTTCGGTTCATTCCTTGTTCTGCAAACTGATCTGTTCCAGTCAGGACGTTAGGGGTCCTCAGCTAAAGCTAAAATGCTAAAGCTAAAATGTTTGGGGCTGTAGAATTTTTGTGATAGGGGGTTGAAGGACAAGGGTGCCCTGGTTGCCTGACCTGATTCCAGCTTTGGAAACCTGTCCAAACCCAAGGTTCCCAGGGGGCTGTTGGAGTCAGAGAAGCCCAGATATAAATCCCACTTGTGTCAATGCTGGAGTTATTAACCTTCTCTAGCCTCAGTTTTCTCATTTATAAAATGAGCAGATAATAAAAATACCTACCTGTTTGGGAGAAGTAAATGAGTAATGCATGTAAAGCACTTATCGTGGTGTCTGGTGTATATGAGGCACTCAATAAAAGGTACCCATTTTAGGAATTTCTAGTTGCTAGTGTCAGACACAGCTACCTCTGACCTCCCAGTTGTGAAATCTGGGAAAAAATTAGATCCCAGGAGAAAGCAAATGGGTTGCAACTAGCTTCTACTTTTCCACAGTTGGTGGCTGAGGGAAGTAGCTTGTGACAAGCCAGACTTTGCCTACATTGAGGGGTCCTGTCTCAGATATCCCTTCCCTTCTTCTGTATTGTCTGAAATTCTTAACCTGGAGATGGTCACTTCAAGTTAAATATTTTCCACTCCAGGTAAATGTTACAGTGTGGCTAGGCCTATCTTCAACTCCTGTTTCTTCAGAGATGAGCCAGGAAACTGGGGACTTGGACATAAAAAGACCCTTCCTTCCAGGAGTCCAGAGGCCAGTGGGGAAGCTAAGTCATGTTCACATGTGGCTTCCAGACAAGGCAGAGTAGTGAATATCCAGAAGATGCTAGAAGGCCAAAATAAGGAGCTTTGGGGACCTCAGGGAAGAAGGGCAGGGGCTGGTGGCCCAAGAAGAGTCCCTAGGAAATAGAACTTCTAGTTTGCAACAGAGATAGATTATTTTCAATGTTAACCCGAAGAATTTGACTTTGATCTGTGGTAATGGCTATACCATGCTGTGTTCTGGGATGGAGAACTAAGGGAAATATTCCCTATGCATACAACCTGTAGTGTTCTCCAAGAATTTTCTGTGGTTTTCTGCCTCTACACATGTGTTGCTGCCAGACCCTCTGCCATGAAGTCCCCCTTCACTTGTCTGCACCTTAAAGTCTTGCCTTTTGCTCTAAGGACCGTCATATTGAATAAATCCCATTTCTCTTCCTCTCTCTCTCCAGCTTTGACAACATTGGCTTTCTTCTTCCTGAAACCTCTCTATCCTGGCTCCTGGAGTCTGCTGAGGTCTCCTGTTGCTCTTGCCTTCTGTCCATCCCTCCCTGAACACTCCTCTCAGTCTCGCCATGTCAAAAATGGCAGCCAGACATCACAGGACCCTTGTGGGTCCTCTGCTGGTCTATCCTGCCCATGACCACACAGCAGCCACACCTGTGGATGCCACAGAGGAGGAGACACCTGCTGTTTTATCTTATACCAGCCTATTCCCATTCTCCTAGTAACTGTGACTCAGTTTCCTTTGGGGAACTTTCTTCCTCTCACTTCTTATGGCTTTAGCGGGGCCCATGTACTTGGCCCTAGGGTGTATGAACCAACCTAACCAATGAGCTTCTCTATCTCCCCTGACTACACTGATTGGGTCAGAGATGGGCAGTGGCCCGGTTCAAGCTGGAATGAGTGGGAAGCATAGCTGTTTCTTTGGGCAGGGCTTTCTACAGAGGGTACCATGTAGTCACCTTAGCACTGTTGATAAATAAGATGGAGCCTGAGGAGGAAGCAATCAGTGCTGAGAGACTGAGTCCTGAAGACATTATCTAGACCCTTGGATCACACTGGCTAGAAGTTCATGCAGGCCAGAGCTCTCTTGCTGTTTTCATCAGTTTTGCTCAAGCCAGTTTGAGTTGGGTTTCTCTTCTTAAAAGTCTAAGAGCCCAAGTCAACAGTCACCTCAGCCCCTCACCAATTTATAATCTCTTCATGGTTAGTGGAAGGGGCAGCAGGGACGTACAAGTTCCCACTCTGCTCATAGAAGCTCTCTGAAGGATTAGAGGGGCCTCCAAGGTAGAGTCACTGCACGCTGGCCCTGGGAATGATGTGTTCTTACTGGGCTCCTTTCCTTCTCTCTGCCCATGACCCTCCTGTGCAAAGCAGACTACTTCTCCCCCGCCCCACACACATGTCACCCACCTCTCTCCAGCTGCCTCCTGGGTACTCTGGGAGCTCCTCTATGCAGCCTCCCTAGCTCTTTCTGCCTTTTGTTACCTTGGTAGGGGCTATTAGTGTCACCCTGTGCCTCAGGCTGGATGCTTGCTCTCTCCCTTGTCATAACCTCCTTCCCCTGGCTGAGACTGGTTCTGTGGATCACACAGGCCAGGTTTCTTTCAGACCCAGTTCTCCTTTCTGGTTTTTCTGCCTTGCTGCTGGGACTAAACTCTCCCACACAGTAGCCACGACTGGAAAATCCAACACAAGGAGGCCCTGGGCTGGGGACCTGCCAGAACCTCCCCACACCCTCTGGGTTTCCCAGTTCATATTTCTTTCCCAAACCTTACGATCCCTGTATGACAGCACAGTTTTCCAGCTCTGCTTCAGTTCTAGCATGTGGTGCGCACCAAGGTAGAATGGGCCTGGGCCCTGATGGCTGCATGAAGTGAAGTTTCCAAGTAAGCCTAGACTTTCACATGAGGGAGAAATCACCTAAATAGTGGAGCCATCCTTCTCCCTGGACTGTCTTCTGTGGCCTAAGACTTGTCCTAACTTGACCTGTGTCCATCCCCTTTGAGACTGCGAGTTCCTAGGAAGGTTGCCTGTACCCACCTCTGCATCCTCAGCACTCAGCATGTGTAGAGACCCAGAAAATGGTGGTGGGAGTGGATGAGTGAGTGAATGATGAATGGATGAGTTCTGGCTTTCTTCCAGCTCTGCTATTTAACCAGTGTCTCTACTTCCCCTTTTGAAACACGGAGGGATTGGTGAGCAAGGAAGAGAAGAGAAAAATAGAATGGATAAAAGCCTTCCCAGCTTGGGCTGGAGCCATGGCTCAAGCTTAGAGCCTGGCATGGCTCAAACAGTAGAGTCTGGTGTGGCTTAAGTGACTGTCTCACAAGTCTGAAGCCCTGAGTCTTCAGTACTACTTTAAAAAAAAAAAGAGCTTTCCCAGTTCAAAAACATACTCAGCTGGGTACCCTAGAATTACTCTAATTCTAGGTACCTCAGAGGCTGAGATTGGAAGGATCACACAGTTTGAGGCCAGCCTAGGCAAAAAGTTCATGAGATCCCATCCAGTCAGTAGCTATGTACATTCTAAGCTA